AAGGCAGCCTTGATCGGCGCGCGCGGGGGCAAATGTTTGCGCAGGTGCTCCCGGCAATAATCCTTCGTGAGCATGCGGTCTCCTGCGGATGCCAAGCAATCTGGGTCGGAATTTGTATTCAGGATCGCGCCTGTCAGCGCTGCTGCCAAAGTAGCAGCTGACAACTATGAATGTTGTTCCCCAGTAGTTGGGTCAGTCGGACATGTGTCGTGCCAAGAGTTCAACTCTGGCGTCATGGTTGCGACGACAAAGCAAGGGATGGGCCGAGTGCTCCAGTATTTTAAGACGACGCCGATGTGTCCGTTGTGAAGGAACATCTGAATGAGTTCCTTCACCTTAGCGAATTCCTCGAAGAATGCGTCTGCTTCGTTGATACACAGGACGTGTGCACTGTTGCACGGCAGCAGCTTCTTCAGAGGTCGATCGCGGACCGCCATGTCTTTCAGCCCTCTGTCATTCACTTTCGGATTCTTGATCAAAGAGCCAAGGTGCTGAGAATGGTGGAGGGGCTTGTTGGTTGACTGTAACAAGGATCCCAGGATGTTGGTGTATGCCATGATCTTGGGATCGTCGTCCTTGCTGAAGCTTGGTCGGATATCCTGACTCTGGCTGTCTTCCCTTGAACTTTTCCACGGATGGATATTCGCCAGCGCCCTGGTAGCAGAATTCCTCCTCGTCGTAATTGATGGATGGATCGACATGCGCAAGGGAATCAATTTCGCACGCGTTGACATCAGAGCGCAGGGATTTTGGACACCCCTGCGCTTTCTCCATGTGGTGTCTTAGAATTCTTCCTTGTCGCTCGTTCAATTCTCTGGAAAGAAGAACGGTGTTGAATTCGGTGATGAACTCCTGGAGATTCTGTTTGTCAGGGAAGCCCACGTGCGTGGGTTTTCGTTCTGCCGGATCTGTCCTGGCCATGGTCAGAGTACTCGGGATCCGTGGGGCGTCTCCTCTTCTTCGTCTCGATGGGCTTCTCCTTGCCTGGCACTGACGCGGTCGTAGAAGCGCTGAGCGAACTCTTTTGCGGAACACTCTTCCCGCTGGCAGAGTACGCTGCAACAAGTTCCTGTCGGTAGGCGCCGTCCGTCTCCAGTAACCTTTATGTTGCGGCGGTTTTCGGGAGTGAGAGCAAGGATGATCATTGCGTCTCTTGCGGCTGGCACATGCTGCAATGCCACATGAACGCGCTGCCGACTCTTGGGATTGAGTTCCACCCCTGGAACCAGTCCTGCTGCCAAGGTATTTTACAGCCCTGCGTCGTAATTTGCGCGCAACAGGAATGTCACTGGAATTATCTTGCATTCCAACTCAGTGGGTTCAGGAGCTGGCTGACTAGGTCTGGATTTAGGCTGAGGGTTGCTCTTCCCATCGTTGGTCATCCTGATGGACAGGGCGCCCCATGGTTTCGACGCCCTCAGGTCGCGAATGTCCGGAAAGGCATCGGATGCACAGCTCCACGCGCTTGTCATTTGCATACTCGTGACCATTGGGACGAAGTGCGCGGTGCGCTGTCAATCCATCTGTGTGGCGGCACCATCTGATTCCGTCGCTGTCTCTCCTCATGTGTGCCCTCAGTGGGTGGAAACACAAACGCAATCTCTTAGTTGCCCAGGAAGTTCACAGAATGGTCAATAGCATCCATGGCTGTGTAGGGCATCTCCATTTGCTGGCACTTCCTTCTATGTCGCCAGGATACCAGAAGTGAGGTGTTATGGCCGCTCCCCTGATTCACGCAAATGCTCAGAAACATAATTGAAATCGGGATCTGCATGCTTGGTAGTATTTTTCACGAAGCTGGGATGGACCTGGATGCCGGAAGGAGGTAGATGCCGCGCTTGTTGGGCCACTTGGACTGATTTGAGCCTTTAGAATCCGAACGTTGTTTTGAGGAGGGTCGTCGGACTCCCCATTTCATGCCTCGGGGTCGCCTGAATCTTCGGCGTCAATGGCGGCGCTGGCCTGGTTTCAGCTTGGTCTTCTTTTTCTCCTTCGGTTGTGGATCAACCTTAACTTCTTCCTCAGCTTAGGATGTCTTGGATTTTCTGCCCCAGTCGACGGTTTCAACCTCCATGTCATCTGCTTCTGGCGGATGAGATGTGGTGGACTGATCTTCATCGCAGTCCGCCAGGAAGTCGCTGACTTCTTCTACTTTAGGTGAGGATCGCAAAGGGGTCTCTCCGAATAACACTTTCGCTGCACATGTCAAGCAGAGGCGTGTCGGAAATCCAGCGGCTCACGCGCAATTGCAAAGATCGCTATGTTGGAGCCATCAAACAGGCTGGGGACACAGGCATCCCGACTCCTGCGAATGCGATGATTTCGGAGCCATGCGCTGTGTTTTGTGCAAGCCATGCAACATGAGGTTCCTGGCCAGGACTGCCTTGATCAGCTCGCCTGCTTTGGCTGAATGTTTGGCCAAAGGGTCTGCAAGGCAGTCTTCACTCGTACATGCGAAAGGTCGTGTTGTTGCGCGTGTTGTCGCGCGGTTTCCCGGAACATTTGTACCACATTTCTCAGGTTGACGGGTTGTCGAGGCGGCTGTAACAAAATGATTTGCATCGGTTCGAGCGTGTACGTCAGCAGTTTCACCTGTGATGCCAGACCGAAGAAAAGCGATGAACCGCAACAACGCATCAGTCCGTGCAACTCAGCAACTGCGGTGGACACTGTTGTAGCGATTACTTTGCGCGTCTCCTAGTCGATCCAAGAACCCCTCGAATTCGATGAGCCCTTGCGAAGATCTCGTTCTTCAGCAAGAAAGATAACACGCGCGCGCGCGTTGGGATGACCTGCCCTCATTGTTGTGGTAGGATGCTGTCAGGGTAGCCGATGATGTGTGTCTTGCCATGAAGTGGCCGGAATCTCACACCACGCGGGATGCCTTTGACGGTTCTGACTTTTTTGTGGCGCGAAAATCTGCAATGGTTGGGGATGCTGCTCTGGGCGCGCAACGCGGCAATTGTTAACCAATGTGAGATTGTGTCCGCAACTGTAGCCACTTAGTGGCAACATTCTGCTGGACATTGATGTACCAACCGCGCTTGTTGCCATGCTTCCACTGGACGCGTTGACCTACGAAAGGGCAATCATTCTTGCGGTAGGAACCAACTTGCGTGATTTCCTTCCAAAACACATCGTCGCCGGTCAGCAGAAGATCACCTACATGAAGAGAAAGTGCTCCATGAACTTGTCGACTCTAGCCATTGTTACCACAAACAGGATCCAGGAGGTAGTCAACTGCGCCTTCTAAATCGATTAGGTTGGATAAATTCTTTTCACTGATCAGTGGAGATTGAGAAGACGCGCGCCATAATAAACATTTGTACATCGGCCTGCTTCACGATGGAACGGTGAAGTGATAGAGTGAGGATAGGTGACAGGAAATCTCACTCTCTTCCCACTCCGTTCGTTCCTGAGATTATGAAAGTAAATAGCTGGTGATGGGTGAAACCGAGAGACAGCGTTCATCCCTTTATCCATCTATCACCTCTTTTCCTATTGACGAGGCGATGATGGAAGGGATGTCACCTCACCAAGCCATAGAATAGAGGCTTGGAGGTGTAAGGAAAGTGATGCTAGGCGGAAGCCACTCCTGGGTGCAGCGGGGCTGTCTGTCTGGCGTTGAAGATGGAATCGCCGGTTCTGAAGTTCAACTTTCTCATCTGGTGGTAGAGAACCAAATCGTCTAATCCTGTCGTAGTTTGGTAGAGTTCACCTTGACGAGGCGCGTTCCAAGATCTAATCCTACCATAGCTTCTTGGTGCCATCGGAACATATTTTGGGCTTGTCTTCCTGCCAATTGAACACCTTGTCGCAGGCTGGAGAGGTTTTGAACTCATGCGAAGATGCTGCGCAAGATCTCGCCTGATATCTTCCGTTTTTCTAGCTTCTTGGAAAGCTTGTTTGCTCTTCTTCCGTTTGGTCAACCGTCAGTTGCGCTGGTCGCAACATCAAGTTGAATAGGATCTGCTGGCCTTCTTCCAAATGCAAGTTCGAGTTGCGTAACTCCTCTTCGGCCTTCCTGCTTGGTGCTCCTCGGTAGGGTCGAAATCCACCGCGTCGGCGATTTGGAGCTTTCTTTCTTCCTATCTTAGTTCACCCGGACACCTTTCTGGCTGCAAGTAGACCGTGATCTTTGAGGCTCCAAGATGTCTCTTCGTCCTTGGCTCCCATGAACCCAGTAGCCTTCCTTCTCCTTCATAGTCTCCAGGTTAACTCAGCACACCCCTGATCGCCGCTGTCGTGGATAAAACTTGGTCTGTGAGCTTGGTCTGGGTGACAAAGAACTAGGCCAGGAGGTTGTCACCAAGTGGGAATGCGCCTCGACGTACATTCTCAATGTGTCTGAATCGTTGGGATCTAGGCGGCACTCCAGCTCCAGCGGGTTGCTAAGCCTGCTGATTGCTCGCAGTGGTCTCTTGCACTGCTTGCAGGTACGCAGTGACTGCGCCGTAATTTCCACCAAGCCACCACGTTGCCCTCAATCCTCTGAAGAATATTTCGCGCTTGGAGATGAAGTGGGGGAACTAACAGTTGCGCCTTCTATACTTGAACGAGCTGAGAAGTCGGCGCTGGTACACGTTTGTGTTTCCCCTTGAGGAGAACCTTTCGAAGTGTGTTCTTATAATACGCAACGCCTTGGAAAAGCGCTTCTCCGCTCAACCTTCTCGACTCCTCGGAAAATCCCACTGCTGTACACTACTGAATCTATTTCACGGTGCGCAGAATCCAATATGGAGGCCCCGGTTCTTGGTGTTGAATATGTACCTTGAAAAGCACAAGCAAGTCCTTTATATTTCGAAAATATGGATTGATGGAAGGCCAAGGTCATTGCAAAGCAACAACACGACCCCCACCCTCCCCACCCCGCTGGCCAGGCTTCCGCGTTTTAGGGGTTCCTCATTTTGAGACGACCCCTGCGCAGCGCGAACCTAAGGAAAGCGCACTTGTCTAGGGAGTTATCTTGCGTCGGACCAAACTGCAAGTTCCACGCCAGCCTGCTGTCCTCGCTTTGGGCGCCTGCCGGGTCACTTTCCCACGCGCCCAGCGACAAGGGTCCACATGGTGGAGTGGCCCACAATGCAGCAGAGGGACAAGTGAAGGGGCACCCTTGCTACTAGTGGAGAGAAATAGCCTCGGCACCCATATCCCTAATGAGTTGAGAACAAATAAAAAATACTTGCATCACATGGGCGACAAGACTGTTCATCGCCAACCCTCTTGGCATGAGGCACCTAGGATGTTTGCAATGTGTAGTTGCAAATGGTGCCTCTGAATACAACATTGCGAGGAGGCTTATCCCAGGAAGTGTTTGTTGCACAGGTGGTATGTTTCTCGGGGCACTGCTTACTCGATCACCGGCCCAGGGAAGTCAGCAGCAACCCTTTTTGACGAAGCACCCGCCTGCCCGTGAAATATTGAGCAAAACCTTCCGTCTGCTACAGGCGCCACACAAACAACCGCTAGTCACGACGATGTACCACGCAAACCGCCGGGACAAAGATCAAAACCACCAAACTGAAGGAGTGGAGGGCCCCATTACAAAACTTGAGCTCAGTTGAACCGAGCGACTAAGTGACTAAGTGAGTGAGTCAGCCAGGCGTTGGGTCAGGAGGGAGCAAGGAAGCAAGAGGAAACAGCGAGACGAGCCAGCAAAACAGCAAGACAATGTGGTGTGAGGTTAAGTAGGAGGTCTAGAGACGGCAGCAGGCGGCGTGACTCGACCAGCCCAGCCTGGAGCTTCACTGGCTCCTTCGGGCGCCTCGGAAGTTCTGCCAGAGAAAATCTGACGTGAGCTGGCCAACGCGAATGTTTTGTCAGCTGAAGCGGGTGCCCAAAATATACCATGGAAAAGCTTGCAAACCAGTGCGCACTTCCTACCATTTGCCTGCCACACATACATTACTCCCGGAATCCACCATGCTGGGAAGCCTGAAAGTGGCCGTATAGTTGTGCGCTTTTGGGGTCTTCAACGGAAGCCATGACTTGCCATGTTGCCCCCGCCCGCCCCAACCATCTTGAACAAGATGGCAGCCGGGCCTGACATCTTGGCGACGCTTCATGCTTTTGCCTGTCCGTTCATGAAACTTCCCCCACTCCCCTCCCCGTAGTTCTCCTATAAAGCCTTCATAATCAGTTCGGGGGACCAGTTGATTTTCTTGGTCTTTCAACCGACGGTCTGGGTTTCGCAGATATATATATACATAAATATAAAAAAGGTGTGTGTGTGTGTGTGTGTTTAAGGACCGGGCTCACCAAATGCGAGACTGCCCCGAAAAAAAACAAATCCTGGCAAGCCCAGCCAAAAAGAACGAGATTGTCCCAAACAAGCAAAACACCAATCCAGTAGACTCTTCAGTTTAGCTTATAAATGTACAAAAAAAGGTCCTGCAACGAATCTCCTGAGAAAGGAAAGCACCTTTGACACAATTTGGAATATGAGTTGCATGTAAAACTCAAAGTGGCATCATCTTGTGTAAAAAATGTTAAATCGTTTCAGTAAAACTCTAATCGAACACATGGTCAAAAATTGCTTAAGATTCTAATTGGAACTAGAAATTCTACTAGGGTTCTGCGCTTACTCATTCGTATTCAACTTATGACTCAAAGCAGGGGAAGGAAACCTCTTTCAGTTCTTTATTGAAACTTGATGTCCAGTGAAAACCTAATTGAAGTACTCTTTTCATAGGAGGCCCTATGCGTCCTACAACTTCTACTAGAACTCTGTTCTTACCTAGGATAAGTAACGAAAACACCGTTAATCTCAAACTTTCAATTCTAGCAGAAACCGTCAGTTCTGCTTGAACTCGCTCCTTGTTGATGTCTGCAAAATTCTCACAAAGCAAGCATGAACAACTCCTGGAAAGGGCATCACCTGTGATACATACTTGGAATAAGAGTTCCAAGTAAAGCCTAATTCAGAAAATATTGAAAAGGGAAACGCTACTCAAATTCTAGTTGAAGCTAGATCTTCTACTAGAACTCCGTCCCTTTAACTCTTATTTAAACGACAACTAAAAGAGTGACAAAATCATCCGGGGAAAGGGCACCACCTTAAATATCTAAATTGAAAGAAGATTTTTAATCAAAACCTAGAAACCCGCATCAGCAAGAGCAAGGAAGTCATATCAAAAATTTAGGAAATTCTACCAGTAAAGTCCGGCAGGGACGGGGGGCGGAAGATTCAAAAATATATAACCTATAGTTCTCATTATCTTTCCTTTCTTTGCCTTTTTTCTCCTCTTCTTGCTTTCCTGCCTTCCTTCTTTCCTTCTCTCCTTCCTTCCTTCCTTCTTGCTTTCATTTTATTGCTTTCTTTCTTTCTTTTCGTTCTTTCTTTTCTTTTACTTCTTCCTTTCTGTATAAATTTCTTTCTTTCTTTCTTTCTTTTCGTTCTTTTTTCTTCTTTCTTTTATTTCTTTCTTTCCTTCTTTCTTTCTTTCTTTTCTTTCTTTCTTTCTTTCTGTCTTTCTTTCTTTCTTCCTTTCTTTCTTTTCT